GTCAATATGGTTAAGAATTCGACTAAATAATTCTCCGTAGGCACTTGTTCAAGCTTAAAGATCTAACACATCTATCGTGCTGCTGAAATCTAACATAATTTGATGAAATTTAGGGCGAAGAGAACTACTGACGTCCATATTTTCTGTTTTTAAGCCAGCACAATGTACGTATGTGTTGCTGTTAATGGCACTCTACTGGATGTTTCAACCTATCCCTATCTCCATAACTGGACTCATCCCCCTGGTGATGTTTCCGGTTATGGGTATCTTGTCTATGGAGGACGTATGTTTGAATTTCATGACAGAGAGCATCATGTTACTCATTTCGGCTATTATAATATCATCAGCTGTTGAGCGTTACAACTTGCATCGTCGGCTTGCACTACGTACGCTACTGTTTGCAGGATCGGAACCAAAGCGGTGAGTTAAATACCCCCCCCCTCGCACCCTGTTTAAAACAATATCACAGCCAAACATGTATTGTTATATTATTGCATGGTTATCAAGAAATAATGAAATTTAAACTATATCCCATAACTAGGTTTATTAATATAATTATATATATTATTCAGACTTAAAATCATTCATCTTAACTTACAACAGTATTTAAATTAGAATTTTGTAATTGCATTTTTTAAATGTAGCTGTGTAATTTTAATCATTCTTTCATTCACATGTTATATATTAATATTTACTTAGTTGACTGATAGACCATATGCCACTTAATAGCATCATACGACCCTGTTTTTGTTCATCAATAGTATTTCATTTTTTCACGTCACCATCCAACGGGTCTCTGAGGCATACTTTCAATAGATCGCAGCGAAGCGGCTGCTCTGCTAAGTATGCATCCATGTAAAAGTGAACGTGATCAAGGGAAACACAAGCGAAAACAATTTCTGTGACGCTCTCGTACTCAATAAAATATCAGCAGCATTTTACATCGAAAATTTAATGTTTAGGAAACCATCACTGATGGGTCATATAAAAGATTACCTTGTAGTGTGTGGGATTTGCATCTTAGTGTGATCAAATTTATGTACACACGTTCGTATAGCACATCATAGCACAGTTGTTCAGTCGTATAGTACTGGGCACATCGTCGTTTGTCCGATTAGCCTGTTGTTTTTCTCATTTGTTTTTATTTTATGGGTCAAACACGCATGAACACAAAGCAAATGTTTGCTTTTACCACTCCCGGGACAAGCAAACTGTGCTCGTAAGCCCAACTGCTCAAATAGTTTCAAGAGCAGTCTTGATTTACAAGTGCAATGGTAGACATACTCCATGTCAATATTGACTTAACTTCTTGAGATATTACGAAGTTGACCCAATGCACCAAGCTGTTAATCACTTGAGTGATTTGAAAGATCACATTTTCTAAAATGTCAACTACATCGTGTACAGAACAAAAACTACACGATTATTGATTTCGCTGTTGAAGGGAATCATAACATGTGTTCACAAAGTCTGGGTTCACGCGTATGTCAAAGGCCTTACTCACAATGGCCCGATCTAATTGTATTTGTCGTCTAACTAATGATTTCATGTTTATATTCAAGGTTATTATTGTCTTTGATGATCACCTCAGCGTTCCTATCAATGTGGATTATGAACATGGCTGTTTATGCAATGCTATTTCCAATAGTACAAGTTTTGGTAGAGGAGCTCGAAAAACAATCCCGCCAGGACCACAGTAACACAGCGGTAAGGGTAAAGGTCATACAGGTCGCAAATTACCTACACTGCACACAAGTATGTTTATTAAATTTTAAGAGAACATTGACGGCGTTCGTTGCATGAAAAAAATGTACTTCTGGCTGTCAACTGCAGATGATGATAAACAACAACCCTCACGATAATTATGAAGGTCATTGCTTTGAAACATAGTCTTTGAAATCGTGTTATCTTGCCAATGGTTTTTGTGACGAGGCCCCATTCTTTATATTCATCTTTTATATTAAATATAACAAATATTATATTTCATCTTTTGTCGAAATTGAAATTATGATACGCATTATATTTTTCATGGAATGTGGACCGGATAAATAACATTCTTGCTTGCACTTGAATTTGTACATAATAAAACAATAAAATATGCATTCTAAATATCAATCAAGATTAGTAAAAAAGGACGTAATTTAACGCAATGCAATTACGACATGATACATATTTACTGTGCTACGTGACCTAGCATACACATACACCCAATGGCATACAATAAGTGCGTGACGTCAAGACCTCGTTTATGATGTCACTTGATTGGCTGTTACATGATATCAAACATAACTATTAACTCCAACGTGTTATACACCTTCAATATTCAGGGTACAGTAAATAGTGCTTATGAGCAAGAGCGTCATGGAAATATAACTCGCGACGAGAATACAATTGAAATGCCTGTCGTAGTTGAAGAATATAGGTAAGATATTATTTGCAGATATACAATTATTTATTATGTTGTCAAGCGAGGAAGGCGATTTAATAAACTTATTATTTTCAACTTATTATTTTCATTATCCTTCAGTATTGTAACAGAAGAAGAACAAAAGACGGATAGCTCGTATACGAGTGACTTGACAAAAAATGATACAAAAGGGCCTTCACATTTGATGATGTGTTTTAATTTGGGATTGGTTCACGCACTGATAATTGGCGGAGTCGGGACACTAGTTGGAACGTATTTGCCATTGGCATTGGTCCAAAACCTGGAGACGTGAGTGAGCTCTATATTTAGCTTTCCTTCATTTGACTTCGCCTTACCTTACTTCATTTGAAGGTAAATACATTAGTGACAAAAACGTTATGGCTGATAAAAAGGATAATGCACGATAATTATTTGTCAAATACGCGACGACGTAATCTCTAGAGTTAATCATGAATATAGTTTCAAAACAAACACACAGACAAAGCGTCAACAATGTCATAGTTCAATATGTTTACTCATAATGGTGCAGCAAACTTCTTTATGTACTCACATCGCCACAATGTTCGCTGCAGCGCCACCATGCGGCTGTACACCATTTATTTTGTCATTGTGCAAACTGGAACTATTTCTTTTGTTGAATGGCGCTCTAATTCAGGCAGAACAAATTGTACTGATTTTTTTTCTACTCTAATTAAATCCGAATATAAAACTGGCTTGTGTTATTTTAACTGCTATGCTTAGCAGCTTACACCGATTTCATTATATAGGTATTTAAGTGTCAGCATATTATGTAAATTAATGGGCAATAGAGAAATTCTCAAACAATTGCAGGCGATATTGAGATACCGCATGTATACCATCTAATTATTTATATTATATTTATTGCAGGCGATATTGAGATACCGCATGTATACCATTCAATTGTTTATATTATATTTATAGGGTTTCCAAACCGTCAAGGTAGATGTTATTGGCAACTGTCCTGTCTGTGTAAAACTTATTTAATTTATATGGGGTCGGTGATTTGACAAATACTTATATTACTAAAACACACGTGCAAACAGAATACCACTTGTTTATGCAAACTGCCCGGATTGTGACCTTTACCGAAAAGTCGATGCTGTGGAAATACATGTTACCTTCGTCTTTAGTCGATCCCTTTTCACACAAAAAATGTATTACTACTCACTCGCGTTCTATTCCCACTTCGTTCATCGCATTTCCAGGCTATTCGTAGTTAATCGATACGACTCAGTGTGGAGGCAACGACCAGGACAGTGGCATCAGTTTTGGAATCTAGAAGCGCGCATTCTAGATGGGACGCTGCGACCGAGCGTGGTTTAGCCCACAGAGAAGAGGCCGGCAACAACATTGTCTGACTTCGATATTCAAATTCGTTGTCATTGGCAATGAACCATTTTATTTGATGCCGATTTGAGTATTAAATATTTGTTGCGGCAAATGTTACTTCTTCTGTAATAGCTTCTCTGTTTATTTGTTGTCCAAAGAAACATTGCATTCATATGCATGGTACGAGGCACATTATCGCGTATAATCTGCTGCAATGACGTCAACAAATCCACTGGTATTGGTGATGCTATAATATAATTACTGATATATCCGAACGTTCTTATAGATACTATGGCCCAAGTGCAAAGCCGAATTTTGGGGAGTGGATGGTATATGCAATACCAACGCAGATAATATGCTTGGTTCTTGCCTGGACCTGGTTGTCAACTATGTTTTTGAAGTTAGGGTGAGTAACTAGTAAACAATTTTACCAATGTTAGGGTTTAAAATTATATTTTCCACTATATCTTTACTTAGGTATGTTTTTATAAACTATTCATTTTAGTTTAGTACTAAGTACTTTGTGACAGCCTACATGCTCAGTTATATCTCATCACATAACAAAAAGTTGGTAAATGTCTGAGACAGTACTTACAATGTTATGATTACAAGATGAATAAAAAAGTTAAATTTACAATAATAATTGTTATTCTGCACCATTTCCTTGGCCCAAATGTCACAAAAACGTATTTAATCACTAAAGCGATTTTATTTTTTTTTCTAGTCAATCTATTTTACTTTGTTTCTCTGGTCGAAATAACTGTCGTGAAAAGAAGCAGATGGCGGAACGTGGTATTGTGGTTGTATTACGCAAACAATATGACGAACTGGGCGCTATTAAGTATACACATTATATAATAAATATTGTTTCTCAAACAGACTCTAGGCACTACGTAATCTCTTCCACCCTCAACAGTATTCAAGTTTATATGACCTTTTTAAATCCAATTATAAATCAAATAAATACATTCGTTGACCATTTTTTGCAATTATGAAGCCAACGTTGCCTTTTCTATGTCACGTGAAAACTTAGATTCGGCTATAAACTTAACAATAAATCATGAAAATGCTTACGCTTATGACTTACACTCAACTCATCAATATAGATAATCGAATGGCAAAATTTTATTTCATAAACGCACGACTGCCATATAGCCATATTAGTTACCTAAGTTCATGTATGCTAATATAGATGTTGCACGTGGCAGCATTCCTAGGGTTGTACCATCTGACAATTGAGTGGACGGGAATAAAAAGGATTATATATATTGCAGGTGGTCAGAAATCGTGGTTATCTTCATGTTTCTTGTGCTGATAGTTATGTGGCTTTTCCAAGATCCCAAGTTTGTGACTGGTTGGACATCATGGTTCAAACAAGGGTGAGTGAATATTCAATGTTTAATCATGTAAAAGTTGAATAAATGTTTTCCATAACTGATAATGCGTTTGATTAAAAACCTGTAATAACTATTCGATGCCAATACATGACCACCAGCAATTTGGCGTATATAAAACTAATTTAAAGACTAATATATTTCAAACTCCAATGTTTCCCCATTATTTTTGTCTCTTTTACATATTTGCTAGCATGTAATATTCAATAAGTACATGAGCAATCTCAAAACATGTAATGCCGAGTTTGACATTATGTCGATCAACAAGTATAAATCATCATTAGTTTATGTCCAGCGCACACATTAATGCCACAAATATCCTATTAGTGCCACATTCCCCTTTTTTGCACGCAGCTTCGTTTACGTTTGAGTTATTGCTAATTTGTTTTATCTAGCTTTGTAAGAAGCAGTACCTTCACTGTTGCAGCTACCATTCTATGTTTTATCATCCCAAGTACAAGACCATCGCTGCCGCATTGCAATCGTAAGTAAACACGATTTATACCATACAAGAAGACATATTTTTATTATTGGTGATATATAGTTAAATTTAGAAGGATATAGTTATGGCATTTATGTTTGATACCAACTAATGTTTTACTAGGATTATCAATATAACAATATCCAGTATCGATGATGAGTGTTCATTTGAAAGTTATAACATCCTTAACTTTATATTATAGATGATATTGACAAATTCAAACCACTGCTAGACTGGCAGTATGTAGTAGGTCGAGTACCCTGGGATATTATATTGTTGGCTGGAGGAGGACTCTCGCTTACAGTAGGCGTTAAGGTAAATGTTTAGTATAATCATAAAAAAAAAACCATTAGAGTATTTTTTGTTATTCACACTGTTTAGTAGATCTAGTTCGCCGTTATATTTTACCAGAAGAAGTTTTAAATATATGTACGTTTCTAGTGTTTTACATTGTGAAGAGAACATCATTACTATGTTTTAATCACTTGTATATACGCCACTGTTCACATGAATTGTGTCGAGAAACGAAGAACACGTGTAAGACAATATAACAAAAACCGGTATTCCCATGTAAACCGTTGATCTCGAAGCTTACCTCTACTATAGATTCGTTCATATGTGCAGTATTGGGGATAATGCGGTTTTAATAAATTGTAAGCAAGTAATTACCTTCGGAATTTCGGTCAAGTGGTTATTTGGCTTACTGTTGTCTATGATGAATATAAAATGCTAACCATACACGTACACTCCAGCACACTGTGCAATATATGCGGCACTGATTGAATGTGGATTGGTTTATTTATACCACTTTTGGGCACGTGCT